CCCAGAAACTGGCATTTCTTATCCTGTGAGATTTCTTGGCCTAGAAAGAACAGCTGTCCAACCAGTTACTGTTGTTAAACATTTTTTGTGGTCTATTAACTGCTGGAACTTTCTTCCCACACTTACCATATTGATCACTCTCGTATGCTCAAGAAAGCCAGAATTCTACTGAAACCAGAATAATATAAAAATACATCAAACATGTTTTTAGAAAGTTTCTTTTCCTCAAACTTTTAAGAAAATTTCAGATATACAAAAAAGTTGAAATAGTAAAACAAATACCTATACATCCTCAACCTGTAGCCAAGAACTAATAACATTTTCCCATGTTTGCTTTACCTCTATGTATGTGTGTGTGTTGGCTGAACCATATGAACGTAAATTGCAAACATTATGATTCTTCATCCCTAAGTATTTCAGCATGCATCCCTAAGAGTAAGGACTTTCTCCTATGAAACCAAACTATTATCTAAGAAAATGAACAATAATCCCATAACATTTAATATTCAGTCCATATCCAATCTTTCCAATTACTCCAAGAGTTGGATAAAGTATTACATCTATTTTTTGAACTAAGATCCAATCAAAATTCATGTATTTGGATGTCTTGTTTTTGTTTTCTGGCAGCTGGCCAGTACAGGAATCTGAACCCGTGACCTTGGTGTATAAGGCTGCACCCTAACCAACTGCTGACTGGCCAGTCCAGATGTTTTTAACATGGATTTTGAAAATGTCTGTTAACTTCCAAATGCTGGTAAACTAGGACTAAATCCTTTTCAGTCTAATCCAAGTTTATACAAACTGGTAACCTACTCCTGGAATGCTTCTCTCTGTTCTAAAGAGGCACAAGACACTTTCTAAAATGGATTTTACCCATGAATGCTGAAAGACATATTTTTGCTGACAATACAATGCAGATGACACTGTGGTGAAACTGAGATATTCATCCACACAGGTGAAAGGAGAAAGTGAAAAAAAAAAAATACTTCTGGAAATAATTTGAGAGTTTATTAAAACAGTTCCTCTCCTAGGGTGATAGGATTAGGGATAGCTTTTTTTTTTCTTGCTTTCATGTTTTATGCAAATGAATATATTTTTAAAATAACTATTATTTCAATGATTTTTTTTTTGGAGGGTGGTGGCAGCTGGCCGTTATAGGTATCAAACCCTGGACTTTGACGTTATCAGCACCATGCTCTAATCAACTGAGCAACCAGCCAGCCCTCAATAAGTATTTTTATTATATATTTTTTTATGTTTTATTACACACACACACTTTTTTTTTTTAAAAGATGACCGGTAAGGGGATCTTAACCCTTGACTTGGTGGTATTAGCACCATGCTCTCCCAAGTCAGTTAACCGGCCATCCCTATATAGGGATCTGAACACGTAGCCTTGGTGTTATCAGCACCACACTCTCCCAAGTGAGCCACGGGCTGGCCCATCAATAAAT